TATTCCACTTAGAGAGGATACAGCTAGTAACGAGGAAAAGGATATCCCCAACACTTCCGTTACAAGCCGTGCGAATTAGGCGATGACTCCAATAACACACATGATACCGACAGTCATCACACGTTTATAGTACCTAATTATTTTTTGTATGTAAGTTTACTATTTTTTTTTATCTAACTACCATCGAACGTCATTCATAAACGCATTAACAGCTCCGCAAAGTTTTAAATACACGTTTCACCACGATAAGTGAATAAAACACGATAAAAAAAAACAGAAACTCGTTTTCGTTCTCAGTGTATCATCGATAGATTTATTACACTTAGACTTTATCTCTCTCACTCGCTCTCTCTAAAAGAATGCCGGCCAGCTATCTATCTCCCCCCTTCTCTCTCTCTTTCTATATATATATATAGAGAGAGAGAGAGCTATATATACGCTCACTCTGCGTAGCCTATATACATATACATATGGGAGAGAGTGACAGCAGTGTCATACATGCAGTTCCTTGATTCAGGCCAGCATAATTAACTTGTACATGATAATGGCGGCAATACTGTAAGCTTTCTTTTTTTAATGGAAAAAAATTCATGTCATTTGTTTAAATTGACTACGTCACGAATTTTATATGGTAAAATTTATAAAAATTTGTTTGCTATTTTTTTACATTAAAAGTAAGAACTAAACGTATCGTCAAATTCTTACCTGATAAGATTGTTTCTCAACTAGTTAAAAATCAAAAAAACCTGGACGATTTGATATTGTGTTCCTGACGCTTGTGTTCCTGACGCTTGCTATGGGCTATGTATGAGTCACAAGTGTATGTTCACATCGAATGCAGCAATTTAACCATAAAAAAAGTGAACAGAATTACTTATATTTTTTATGAAAAAGTGGAAATGTTTTTTTTATTTTTACTATTTACGGTGATGTAATTTGTTTAACGTTGCAGGCTTTTACTCACGGCCACGAAGGCGTCGCGTGCCGACAGTATCTCGTCTCCGTGGTCGTACACGTCCTTACGGGAGCTCTGTCTCTGTGCCAGGTGTGGTTCCATCGTCACCGGAATCCCTGCTGGTACCTCCGTCTGTCACGTCTGCAACGCCTGTTGTAAGCAGCCGCCTAGAAGGCCGGAGGGCGGGTTAAAACGCATAAGTACACAGCAGGCACGTACGCACACACGCGCACGCACACAGCACACACGCTAGCGCACGCACACACGAGCAGAGCAACAGCAAGCAACAACAAACGGAAAGACGGAGACTACGCACGCCACGCACGCACGGCAAGCCCCACCTTTCTTTCTCTCTCCCACCACACACACACACACAAGTGGACACGTGCACACGAACGCGCTGCGCTTGCACACGCACCGGCACACAAACGCACGTCACGCACATCACACACGCACATCACACACACACACGCACACACACACGCCATCTACTCACACACACGACACACACAAAACACACATCGACACTCATGCACACGGCACGCCGCAGACACACACGCACGCTTTTACGCGTACGCACCGCACGCGACGCACGCACACAACGAGACACACACACGAAAGGGCCGGAGGGCGGGCGTTTTTTGGGTGTCGGCGAACCATCATAAATAGTTTATGACTATGTCTAGATTCAATTAAATCCTCTGTCACTTCAAACAAGTTATGGTACCAGCTTGGTGGAATTTATCGATGTCGTGATCTACAATGTGTTTCAGACAGGCGTTCCCCGTGGGCGCTCTGGCGGTGATCAATGTATGTCTGCGACGATGCTGCTATACCAGTGTGTTAGCACCGTGTCGTCTAATGCATGTAAATTCTGGTGCACGTACAATTTCTGTGACTTGACCGCTTCTTATAGAGACCACACAGCGCAGCACATCTCAAGCTCACTCACTCACTTCAGCCATCTCACACACACAGCACACTCACTCTACTCACTCACTCACAGACACCATGTCCACCACCAAGCGCGCGCACACACACAGTGTGCTACAACTCACCATCTCACTCAGCACACACACAGCGAGTCAACACACACACACACACACACACCCCGACGATACGCACGACGCTAGCACGTGCACACGCACACGCAACACACCACACACAGTACACACACACAGCACACACTCACCACACATCACACACACCATCACGTTCCACACACTTATTCACTCACGACACACACACCACACACACAGCACACACGCACAACACACACACACACACACACACACATCCACACACCACTCCGAGGCACGCACACACACCTCACAAGAACGCATCGCTTACACACGCACGCATACATGGCGCACATTAAACGCTTACATATTATTGGTCGTGGGGTGATTCACGGCTCGAATAATTTTCGGCTGGCAGAGAAAATTTCTATAATACATCATAATCTTCATACTAATTAGCTCATTACGCGCCCGGGTACTAAT